ATGCATTCTCTACCTCTGTTTAAAACCTACCTTGCCTCTTTGCTCAAAGCATTGTGCTGCCTGATTAGAATGGCCTGTTTCGCCCTCTCTTAGCTCAAAACTCCCTTCACTATTCCTTCCCTCTGCAAGAGGCATCACTTCCTCTTATCTAGTGCCCAGAACCAGGAGCCCTGAAGCACATGGAGCCTCAATGAAAGAGTGCCTCAAAGCATGTGCAGAGTACATTTCTTTCACCTTTGAGTAAACCATCCTCAGCACATACATACCCCTCCATAGATGGGGAGAGGAGGAAGGATCTGAAATCCAGTCTGCAGCCTCCCAGCAAATATTGTGACCCAGGCCACATTCATTTAAAGCACTACTGATTTCACTTTAAACAGTCAAGGCTCACCCCGCCGCCACCAAAAAAATCCTGAGAGCTGTAGTTTGTTAAGGATGCTGACGGTTGTTAGGAGACCCCTGTCACTCCCCACCCTCCCAGCTAAATTTCCTGTGAAAGGAATTGGAATCTCCTAAAAACTCTCAGCACCCTTAACGAACTACAGCTCCCTTGATGCTTTGAAGAAAAGGTGCAAAAGTGGCCCTGGAATGTGAGGAATAAACTATTGATTGATTGGAGCTGTTTGTTCTCTTCTTCCCCCACTGCAAGGTAGCAGCCACCTCTCTGGATGACAGTCAGCAGCCTCCAAAGGATGCACTCAGTTCCTGGAAGCTTCCAGGTTGTTCTCTGAACTGCGAACACAGCTATTCGCCCACCTTGGGACTACAAATGTGCTCACCTGCATGAAAAGCACCAAGCAGTGCTGTGTAGCCAGCCTTAATTGACTCACTCTCCTCTGCTCCAATTTAGATAATTGCTGTGTACAATGAAACCTCTGTTTAAAGGAAGCACTTTCTGAAAGGAACAGACACAGCGGAATAACAAAGCAGCTACTGCGACCTGCTCTGGTGCCAAAACAGTCTCCAAAACCCTCTATGGAAAGCGGCTGGCTCATGGTTGACCTACAGCAGGGTCAGGGAGGGATCTGCTTCTCCAGGTGGCCCCAGCAACCAAACCCATAATGTCAAAGGAGAATGGAAGGCTTACGCGTGCAGCTGCTGGCATCACAGCAGTGAGCCATGCTCCTTACAGAGGCCACTAAGAATCATTCTCTTATTCCTTCCCTCCTGGGAGCTGCCACCACCTGTCCAGCTACTGGAGATTTAAGCAGTGGTGGCTGGTGCCCATTGGGACTGGCAGGTGGAAGGCAGGAAGGCCAACAGGCAGAGCCAACTAAACCCTGCAAACTGGCTGAGTTCTACAAAAGGCAATGATGAGACTAAGGAGAAGGAGGAAGCTGCCAGGCAGTGCCAAAGGCTGGTTGGAGGTAGAAGAAGAAGAAGAAGAAGAAGAAGAGTTTGGATTTGATATCCCGCCTTTCACTCCCTTTAAGGAGTCTCAAAGCGGCTAACATTCTCCTTTCCCTTCCTCCCCCACAACAAACACTCTGTGAGGTGAGTGGGGCTGAGAGACTTCAAAGAAGTGTGACTGGCCCAAGGTCACCCAGCAGCTGCATGTGGAGGAGCGGGGAATCAAACCCGGTTCCCCAGATTACAAGACTACCGCTCTTAACCACTACACCACACTGGCTCTCAGGTAGGAGGGCAGGAAAGTAGAACGCTGGCTGAGGGCAGACTGTAATTAGAGAAGCAGTGCCCTGTTTGTCCTAATGGATCTGTCTGCACTGTGGGCCTGATCCTAGGATTTTGGAACCAACCACTGAGTCTTCTAACTGGCAAGAGCTGTGGGAGAACAAGGCCCTTGTGGGAACTCTCTCATTCTCTTAGGCAACCCCATGGGTCACAGGTGATCTTCCTGGGGCCCCATGTAACTTTCAGAAAAGGCAAGAGGGCAATCAGTCATATGTACACCCAAAGAGAACCAGGAACAGAAGTTATTCCTGATCAATTAACATTGGCAACACCACAAGACAGTGTAAGGTTGAGGGTTGGTCCTTGTTCTCTGCCTTTATTCACACTGATCTATGAACTGAGACACAGCAGCTAAAAATCTGTCTTTTTAACTCTCTGTGAGCACAACAACACTCCATAATATGTATCTGAAGGTTGCATTCCCTTAAAGCCAGGTTGGGGCTCAAACTTTCAGAAAGGAACACATAGCAGTAAAGCACCTTTTGTAAAGCATGCAAAAATCCCCAGATCCAGTACCTGACATTTTGGGTTATATCCAGCTAAAGTCTACTCAGAGGAGACTTGTGGAAATTAAGGAACCTAAGCTAGACATGTCCATTAATTCTGATGGGTCTACTCTGAGTAGAAGGAGCACTGGATAAAACCCTTTCAGTTAAAAGGACAAAGTGATGAGAAAGACTGTCCCCACCTGGGACCTTAGAGAGTTGTTGCTGCTACTACTCAGAGGAAGCCAGTCTTCGCTAACCTGCCATAATAACACAAGAACCCTGCTGGATCAGGTCACTGGCCCATATAACACACCATCCTTTGTTCACAGTGGCCACCCAGATGCCTCAGTGGGAAACCTGGAAGCGGGATCTGAGAATTGCATCACTCTCTCCACCTGTGGTTTACAGCAACTGGTATTCAAAGCACTATAGAGCATAGCCAGTGCAGTTTGGAGTCCTCCATTTTGGACTACAGGTCCCATCCACATGGCTTTTTGGTGGGGAAGTGAAGACCTTTGCTATTGGGACTCACAGATTCAAGGCAGGCAATCACTGAAATGAAAAGGGAATAAAGCCCAGGGCTTGATATGCTGCACTGTTCCCTGCCTGTGCTAGTAAAAAGCCTTCTCTTCCCGTCTGTGCCCCCCTGCCACTGCCTTGCTCCAACCAGGCCTCCCTCTGCTGCTTCACTAATTCCTACCTCCACCTCCTCCTGCTGGCTTCAAGGCGCTCGCCTTCAGCCGAGCTCCCGCTAAATAGCCCATTAAAGAGAAAAATATTCAGATGTGCATTTCACCATACTGGCACCCAGCAGCCGCTGACTTTGTTATTTAGCGGGGGAGCTTTGGATGGTGAAAGAACACATTTAGGAGCCTTAGGAAAAATAAAATTTCAATGAAGCATGGCAGCGGCGATGAGGCCTATTTGCGGGGGAAAGGACGGACTCTTTCCTGCGCTTGCTCTCGCTCTAGACTTTCTCTCGGGGTACAGCAAATGATATGGCATTTGGATTACTCCGTCTGAATTGAATTTTTAAACTGCCCCCTCGAGATACAATGCTGAGGAAAGACATTAGCCCGTCAAGCGGCAGGGGGAAAGAGAACAAAATCCGACGGCTAAAAATAAAATGAGAGCTTTAGTGGGAAGAGGAAGGCGGGGTGTCAGAGGCTGGCTGCGGACAGAAGCGGGCTGGCCGCATGAGCGACTGGGCCATTACCCAGGAGGCTTTGGCACTTGAGAAACGCCAAGCCCACATGGCTCCCCCTTTCTGCTCCATGAAAACAGTCACACTTCAGGCAATTCTTAGCCCTGAACTGAGAATTCAGGCCCCTGAATCTTTACTTTCTTCCAGAAGTAGATGCTGAAGGTTCTATGGGCAATACAAACAGTTCAGCTGCTCCCCGCTCTGTCTCCAGGCAAAGAAGATGCTGGGTTTGCAACAGGAAATTCTCATCTGCTTCCCCCAGTGGGAGACTATGGAAATAGGCAAGCCAGGGGGAAAGACCATGGCACCTGGTCTAACAGATTACATGACAAGATGGAAGGGGAGACTACTTTGTGGGCGATCTGCTACAAGGGTTGATGATCTGGAAAAACACACCAGTGCGTAAAATGAGGGGTGATCAGATGAGAGACGATGAGAAGAAAGGTGTCAAACCTTCTGCAGCTGACAAAGTGGAGTCACAGAACTTGCTGGATGGCCCAACCTCTCTCTCTATTTTCATCCTTCAAACCTATCCAATAAGACTGAATTCATTCTCCCTTGCTGCCACTTAACTCTCTCCATCTCTGCCTAGTTCTCCATGACTCACTTGACCACCTGTGATGTCTTTCACTACCTTTGCCATCACCTGCTCTTGGTCCCTCTAAGTAGGTTGCTTCTGTGCTCAAGACATCATCCAACACTCTTAGCACTGCATAAATGCCAACCCAGCTGTAGTTTACAGAAAGCACTTGAGTTTTAGTGGAAGGGGATAAGATAAAGTCTGCTAAAGTGCTTGGAGTTTCTAAAATATTATTTTGGGGTGGGGGGGGGATATCTTACAAAAAAGACCCATTAGCTCTTAGTTTGGCAAAAACCACCCTGACAGCTATTAGGTTGCTATATAGGCAAACAAGACATCTGGTGTGCATGTGTGAATGAGAGCAAGAGTAATGAGTAATGTTGGGAGCCAAAAGGGCTTTTCCACAGGAGCTCAGTAATAACTGTGAACACTCTGACCAGTTGGCTGAATAACCACAAGCAGCTTTGACAGAAAAAAAGGCCCTGTCTGATAGAATAGCAGGTATACATAAAGACTAACATTCCATATGCGCTCCTCTTCCCATGAATGCAGATGTCCATTTCCCCAATACATGCATGCACTGCACTTTTTCTGGAGTGAGCCCTCTGGATGTTCCCACTCTTCAAAAATGAGGACAGCTATATTTTTAATCGCAGCCTTCAGGTTTGCTTTCCTACAGCTACATCAGTGAAATGGGGTTTAGTATCTTGAATGCACTGCATGTTTGACAATTTGTTTTTAAATCTGATTGACATAAAACATTGCTTTTCTATTTTTCCAGTTGTGAGAAGTAGGGACTGAGAAGTGCAATAAAGGGAAGGGAAAGAGCCGAGCAGGGGGAAACAGGTGCACAAAAGGGGAAACATTGGAGTAGCCTGGGCCACATCCTTCAAGGAGCTGAGTCATGGAACTCAAGGTGTGGGTGGTGTCTGGGATCCCTCCCCTCTCTGCAAAAAGTGTCCTTCCTCTGTGCCCCCGTGCTGGCTCCCCTCTACTTCATCCAGGTCAAAGGGCCACACCCCGCCCTCACTCTTACCTCTGGGTTCCTCGGCCTGTTTGGCAAGCTTGCGCAGGGCGGCGGCAAAGCTGGAAGAGGGTGCGGACTGGACTGACAAAGTGCTGTTGGCTGCCGGGCTGCCACTGGGCACAAGGGAGGCATTGAGAGGAGATGGGGTCAGGGGGCTGACGGTGGCGGTAGTCCGGGTCGCTGTTGAAAGCATTCCTAGAGAAGGTGACTTTGGCTCATGGCTCATGCCTGAAACAATGAAAAGAAGAATTGATGTCACTGGGAGAGAAGGAGTCAAGTCACATCATCCCAGAGAGAGTCAAACCTGGCATTGGAATATAACAAGCAGGGCTGGGACAGGACCAGACAAGGGTGACGGGCTGGAGTACAGAGGAGAGGTGGCAATTATGGCTACCCCAGAGCACTCTGCATCTACCTACTAGGGGAAACGCCAAAGGCTTTACATGGGCAAAGTTTTGCAGTTGCGGAAGACAGAAGGTAGGTGGACAGAGAATTGAGAGCGTGGTGGAGCTGGACAGGAAATCCAAGGGTTATTTGTGCTGCTGTGTTTATATCCACATGACATCTAGGGTTACCTATTGTTTCCTACCCTGTCCAGGAGAAAATGTGCTAAATTTTTGCAGTGGTAAAGCAGTGGTGGAAGGCTGCTCAAAAAAAACTACTAAATTAGCACATCTCTGTCTTTGCTTTATTGGAAGGGAGGGAAAGCTGGGAGATGAATGGAGCAGCACACCCTAAACCAGAGCTTTCCAAACTTTTCATATTTGTGACACACTCTTTAGACCTGCATCATTTTGTGACACACTAATTCAATTTCACTAGCAAACCAGAGATTAAATTAACCCCTTTCCAGGCCCGGGAGGAGCACGGGAAGCGTTTGTGCGACACACCCTACACACTGCAGCCGACACACTAACGTGTTGCGACACACAGTTTGGAAAGCTCTGCCCTAAACCTTTGTTCTGGGGCTCAAATCAAAAGACACTCACTCACTCACCCATTCATTTGCAGGGCCAATTACAGGACCCTAACTCATGCTAGATCTGCTTCACACCTGCAGGCTAGCCATGTACCAAAAAATGCAGTATAAGCAAAGAGATCACTGGGGGAGGGGGGAGATATTCCCCTCTGGAACAAGGTGGAGCACAGCACCAGGGGCAATGAGAAACAACTCCACCCCAGCAGAAATTGTTGCAGCTGTTCTGCTCAACAAAGCACCTGTCTTTCGCCAGTCACAGGAATTCATTTTGTCTCTCCCCCCCCCCCCGACACACCTCATCATAATAGATCCACTGGTGTAGATCTGTGATAGGTAGCCTTCAGGCTTGTTTGTAGGATCTACTTTCTCTCTTTTCTAGATCTCTTGAGATCCACCAACTAGAGCCCAGTACAAAAAGACTTGCCGTTTAAATTCAAGAATTCTGAGCCCAGGAATTTGTGCTGGAGTGCTGGAACAAAACTGAACCCACAGTTCTTCGCGCACACACACACATCCACTCCTGGCCTTTTCTCCATTTCAGCAGTATAATTTAGGGCAGTGATGATGGGAGTCATTTTGCTGCAGCTATTGTTTAACAACTGGTAAGTCGGAAATCCTTGCCAATCTACTGCATATTGTTCAGAGATCTATACAAAAAGATCCTAATCTATCTCCTGTGCATTCCTGGTGTAGATTCAGTACAAGCTAGGAACTATGTGGTCATCCCTTCGGATCCAATTTTTCCAGGCTGCCCTCTAGAGGCTGTAAGAATAGAAATCCCACTAGCCCCAGCCAGCACAGATGTGACTACAACTCCCATCAGCCCCAGTCAAGCACAGGTGTGCCAGCTGGTGCTGATGGGAGTTGCAGTCCAAACATTCTGGAGGGCCCTGGCTTGGCGAAGGAGGATCTAGGCATATTCCAATTGAAAACAAAGAGGGAAAATGTCAATCTCAGGTATGCACATAAATACATGGGCTTGAGGGCAGCACTGGTAGGCCAAGCGGAGCCCTCCTGCCCCCCACCCTAGACCCAGTGACTGTTGTCTCATGGGTGACTAGGGTTCTGCAGACTTTCTCAGTAGAGAGGAAGGCTGTGCAGGGAAGGACTGAAGGGATAAGAAAAATCTCAGTGGCTACATCCCCTGAGAGAAAATGTCAAGAAGATGGAAGCTTGCAATATCTGCTTCTTTTGACAGCCACACTCTCTCCCTGGCTTGGACACAAAGAGCTCTCTCCCTCTACCCCACCCCGAACACACACACACACCTTTCTTTCTCTCAGGCAGATTAGTAAAAGAACCCAAGAAGAAAAAGGCTGAAGCTTAAAAAGAGCTGTTCACAGGATCTCAGCCAGAGGCAAGGCAGCCGCAAGTTGCCAGGAACAATCTGCCTGTGCGCACACAAAAAGCCCTGAACCATTTCAGAATGCCCCCCCCCCAAGAAATTGAAAATGGGGAGGTGGGGGAGGGGGAGAGAACCCAGAAGAAATAAATCAAAGGCCGTCACAGCACAGGCATCTACAAGCATCCCCCGTCTCCTACGAATAAGAGCTGTGTTAAGGAAATCAAAGCACTGACACGGTCCGGGCCTGAGGGTAGCTCATGGTTTCCCCATCTGTTTACAGTGAATGGAAGGAAAAGTTAGAGTGAAGAGAGGCTGGCTTGAGGGTGCAGTTTCTGCAGGGCATTAAGGGGTTCAGAGAGCATGCTGGGCAGCTCAGGAAGCTTTAGTGTGGGACAGCATGCTGATGCCACCTAGCTAAGGTAGAAGGGAAGGAGGCAATGTGCCAAACCAGTAGGTGCCATATTGTGCATATGTGTTCAAGGGATTGTGCTGCCACGTGCTCTGAAACCACGATTTCCATGGTCTCTTGGGTAGACCAGTACACTTGCAGAGTCCAAGACACTGTGTTGGCACACCAGAGCCTTAAAAACAGATTAGCACTGTTTGGCTCTTGGGCCATTAGGCAAAATGAAGAGAAACTGCAAGTAAAAGAAATGACTCTATGTGCATCAATGCCCTGTGTATTCAAGTCTATGCACACGTATCTGGCATCTGGAGACCTAACTTGGTCCCCTCATTCCCTCCCTAGACAAACACTTTGACCAAAGGAATCTCAGAGGCGGGAGAGACACAAGAACTGTGAATACTGCTGGTGAAGGGGATCTTGCTGGAACTGAAGGAAACTACTGCGGCAGAGAAAAGATAGTAGTGGAGGCTGAAGTCAGGGCAGCTGCGATGCTCCCATGCACTTAAAATTGCATCACATGACTGCAAAAATGAGTTCATGCCATAGCATCTCAGCAGTCATTAAAATTCTTCCTAGACCTCATGAGCTGTAGTGAACAGGTTGGAGACACAGGCCACGCTGGTGAAATTGCAGGAGCCAGGGAGCTGCCCCAGCTAATGAAAGGGCATGAAGGCTTAAACTTTCTTCCTATTTTTGGTATCTTTTGGAAATAGAAGGAAATTGTGCAATATCAGCTAACAGAGACACATTTGCACAATTTATGGTTATTTGTGGTGATGATTTTTCTAAAGAATATGCAGGGGGGCACACACCATCCTGGCTGGGCCTCTGATAGATCTGTTTTTAATACAGAACTGCCTTTGCATGGAAGCAGCTCCAACCTTCAATCAAATGGCAACTGCCTGCAGAAAACAAGCTGCTGTCTCTGGGCGCAGCAGCTGGTCAGGGATAAAGCAGCCTCACATGATCTGCAGCACCCACGTCTGCCTGTGCCCAGTGCAGGTCCTCCCCTATCTATTGACTGCAGCCAAGCCTGCATTGATTCAGGAGGCTGACCCCCTTCCATGTCCTCTGCTCTGCCAAAGGCAGAGTGCAAATGGTAGATTATCGAGTGGACCCCTTTAGCCTACAAGGAGTCAGCAGGAATTAGCAGGAACTGGATGAATGCTCAGCTGAAGGGCTGCCTTACAAGAAAGCCATGCTGTCCCCCAACCTCTCCAGCGCTGAATGTGGGCTGTGACACCCCTGCCCTAGGACCATGCCTCTTGGGGAATGGAAGAAGGAACAGAGAGAAAACCCTTCAGGCACTTGGAACTGTCTCAGGAAACACACACACACTCACACACACACCTTGCTACTAATGCCCTGAAATTGCTCCATCACTTCCACAGTTAAAAGGGGAGGAATCAGACCATGGGAAGCATTCTGAGAAAAGGCATAAAGAGACTCCTGCAATGGCCACTCAGCCAGAATTGGTCCCTGTCAGCTGTGAAGCTAGGTGGGTGAGGGGAGGGGGAACAGAAGCACATGCGCCTTGCAAGGCTGTAAGAGTCCCTTAATTAGCACTTCTGTAATGAGTCTTCAAACCAGGTGATATCGCCACTCTCCGCAATCTTAAGTCAATTTTAAATGGGGTCAGGAGCAGTCACAACTGTCCATGGAAAATATACTGGCCTGGTCTGGCTTCCACCCCATATCCCAGCACAGTGCAGCTGGCTTCTCTCTCCTCCCAGCCCAAACCCCACCCAGGCAATCTCTCTAGATTTTAGGGTTTTCTCCCCTAAACCATCCCCGTTCCCTGACAAAGTCCATACCTACTGTCTCCCCATATGCTGCTTCAGATCTGGGGCACCTAGAGGTGGGTGCCTGGGATCTCCTAGGCAGAGCGTCTCTTCCTAGACACCCTCTCTGGCACTATTCTACACGCAAAGTGCTCCCCCCTCCTGCCCCACGAGCCTTATGATGCTCTTCACCATCCCGGCACCAGAATGTCAGAGCCGCAGCAGGCTCCTGCCTTTGAAAAACAGTCACTGCTGATGTCGGGTCACTTAAAATAGAATTTCAAATGAGCAACTTCATTAGCATGGCTAAAATTAGCATCGCTCTTCAGCTTGTGTTGCAGGGTGAGGGGTGGGAGGGTCCCCCTGGCATGGGACTGTGACGCAGGGGAGGCAAACACAGGAGGAAGATGGAGAGGACACAGGCAAAGGGACTCTCTTTCTCCTTACATCTAAAATATCACATCCCAAAGCAAATGAAGCAAATCCTCAGGACATTTTTCTCACTGTGGATCAGCAATACTGCCAACACACTGGGTCACCGTGGGTTGGCCTTTCTTTCTTAATGTTCATATGGCAAAACAGCAACACAACTGCAAACTGTCCCTTCCCTAAAGGTGCTCATTTCCTGGAGTATTTCCGAGATGCAGAAACATTCACAACCAAAGAGGCCTTTCACAGGAGCACTTTGGGAAGCGCCCTAAGCTCAGATGTAGAACC